TTATAATAAAGGGGAACTAATTTAAAGAAGAATACTGAATGTGTTTATAATATAGGGAACAAATTTAAAGAAGAATACTGAATGTGTTTATAATAAAGGGGAACTAATTTAAAGAAGAATACTGAATGTGTTTATAATAAAGGGGAACTAATTTAAAGAAGAATACTGAATGTGTTTATAATAAAGGGGAAATCAGGAAAACACATTTCGATAGCATTTATGTTACTACTCAGAATTTTTAAAGCGAATCATAAAATTTTGTTTATTTTTGATCACGCTGCTGTAAACCTGAATGTAGATTCAGTCTGCATACTGAAAACTTCAAGTAGACTTATTGATTGACTAAGTTTATGTCAATTACGTTCGATCTGTAGTTCATGGATGTTACCTGGAAGTTGTTCATCGTGGAGAACTTTGTGGAATGGACTGAGATATCGAATTGAAATAGCTTTATAACTAAAACATAAACGCAAATAAAGTTTATTGAGTGGCTTTAGAGTCAACTTTGTACTTTCTCTTTAAAAATAGTTACTCAGAACGTTTAAAGGGTTAAATATAGAGTAGGGTGACAGATTTTATAATCTGTACGATAATATAGTGTTTAACTTTCTTAAGAGAACAGAACATCATTGTTTTATAAGTATTTCATGAATTTTTACTAGAATTGTGAATACAGGTGCTTAGATGCTACAGGAAATTATAATTTTTACAATTAAATGTGAGGACAGATAAGGAGATGTTACGAGAAATAAGAAATTTTACATTGAATTTACAGGCACTAAAGTGTTAGAAGATACACATTTTTACAGTGAATTGTGAATACAGGTACTGACGTGTTACAGGATATAAATTTTTACCGTGAATTATGGGTACAGATACTGACGTGTTACAGGATAAAAAAGAAAGCACATAAAATCTGTTTGATTGTTTAATGGAAAATAGATGAAGGGGAATGCTGAGCCGCTTGAAGAATGTTGGTATTACAGTTCTGGGTGTTTACTTAGGCAAAGATTTTACATGGACGAACAGAATTGGTCGGAATTACTGCATCCAATTACAACTACGTTAAATAGATGTGCTCCGTTTAAATTTCAAAAAGACGTCGCGAGTACCTTGTGATAAAGGTTTAAAGTTCTGGCTCCATTTTGAACATTGTTGAATAAAATTGATAGTTCCATTTAAAGTTTCTTTTTAGATAGATATCATTGGCTATCTCACCGAGTTCTTGTCTATGTCATTGGAATCTGAAGTTAAATTATATGTAAAGATTCTATATAGGATTTGTTATTTGTAAAAAATAAAGGGGAGTATCTATCTGTACAAATCAATGCTAAATTTTATCACTTCTACATTCTTTCTGTTTTTTTATAGTCAAATAACAGTTTAGTGAACTAGATGTTGTGGATAGAGGCTTTAGTGATTCATTTTATTTTTTTCACGAACTGGATGTAAAAATCCAGGTGGTATTCTTTATCTAAAATTATATTTGTTTTTAGTATACATGTCGTGAATGTGAAGAGTTTGGCAAGGTTGCTAAGTTTCTGAAAGCTAATTTGGCTATTCAACTTATACGAATTCCATATTACCTACTTAAACAAAAGACAACAGTACAATCAATTAAAACCGGACTTTAGAAATGTTTGTTGTTGTAACTGGAAAACCGAAACGTAATTTGTATATTAAATGTTCGATAACGTAGCAGAAGAAGCAGATTACCTTGAGGTAGAAGACTGTGAAGTGACAGAATGGACAGACTTCAGTTCGTGCAGTGCCACATGCGGCCGAGGAATACAGATGAGAAGCAGAAATTTCGTAAATGAACAAAATGCTCGGAAGATGAAATGTCTCACAGAACTGACAGAAAAGAAACACTGTGATATGAAATGTGAGGGGTAAGTAACTTACATGATATTGTGCCTTTAGAAAGACCTACAAGTAAACTGTGTAGTGGAACATTCTACTTATAACATTATTTTATGGCGAGAAATGATAGTTCTGTGTAGTACTCATGTAATGTAAAATGTGTTTGAAATTAGAAACACATTTTGTCGGAATGCATTTTAGTAATTATTCTAATTTATATTCATTAATAATTAAATATCTTTTGAGCAGCTAAAATTAATAAAAATTACTTTTGAATTATCCAATATACTTTTTAAAGTGAGATGGGTCAAATTTGTTTAACACATACACAGCAGAAAGACTGTTTTAACCTCTCTGATTTATCATACCATGTTTATAGGTATCCCCCGCATGGACTTAACCTCTCTGATTTATCATACCATGTTTATAGGTATCCCCCGCATGGACTTAACCTCTCTGATTTACCTTTTTCCTTTGAACTGGTCCATGAAAAAATTTATAGTAATTAATGCACTTTTATTAGGCCTTTTTACTAATTTACTATTTAATATCATGGTTATATATAATGATAATTGTACATTGCGAGTCGAGCGCCCTCACCATTAGGTCATGCGTGGCCCTTAACTGAAGGCAGTTACTAGAGAACATGTTATATTTTTGTGTAACTTGCGTCATAAACATGTAGTATGAAAACTTTTATTATGAGTGAAAGTAAGTAGTCTCCTCCTTAAAAATTAAAGAAAGTTATGATTGTTTTTACTGAGTTAATGTAAACAATTACTAACTTCTTGGTGAAACATTCATGATGTCAGAAAAACTCGTAGGTTTAAGAAGTCTTGATGCAAATTGATAAAAAAAACTCTATGCACATTCCGTTGGTTTTGATTTTGGCGCGAGTTTGTTCTGCACAAGCACTCAGAGCTCTGGAAGACTCTAACTTCACCCTTGCAAAGAGTTCAGTGGAGGGGAGTCTGTGCAGCGACACAAGCAGACCTTGCAGAACACCTGAGATAAGCATCGTAACTTATCAATGCCATGTCAGAAAAACAGAGGCATAGAGTTTATCTCAGTGGTGCTGAAAAACGCCGCAAACAAAAAAAATCCCAAGAATAATTGAAATCAGTTCCAAAATTAACTGTATTTTATGGAAAAGCAGAGCTTTCAAAAGAGAATACTGAAATTGCCAATGATGGTAAGTTTTTATTTATTTTTTCATAAAACATTTTCAATGAGAAAAAATTTTGACTGACCATTGATAAATTTATCCTAAAATTACCATCATACATATGTATAGTTATTTATAAGCTACACTTTTTTTTCAGAGGAACCAGTTGCCCAGATGGATGTTGATGTTTCTGCACCAATTCAATCCGAAGATTGTCAATCTGGATCATCAACATCAGACAGTTCTATCCTACCCTCGGATGATATCCTACAGTCAGATCCTGCCTTGTGGAAAGTGGATAGGCATTTCCAAGAAGAAATTGTAAAAACGCCGATTGAGTAAAACATTTATAAGCAGGACTTTTCAAGATCTGAAAGAGAGAATAACGGGCACAAACGCTACCTTACCAAGTCTTTGTTTGAAGGAACTATGGTAAATGGCCAGAAAGTAAATATGGAATGGTTAGTTTATTCTCTGTCTACTGGGTGTGTGTACTGTGCTCTTTGCAAAGTGTTTTGCCAAAAGAATGAAGATAAAGCATTCATAAATGGTTTCAGTGATTGGAAAAATTCCCATAGCAGGGTTAGGATGCATGAGAACAGTTCTGAGCACAAAAACTGCATTAGAATTTGGCATTCCAGAGCATCTGATGAGCATAGAATTGACAAAGATCTTGTTAGGGAGTTAGAGGAGGAAAAGAAGTACCGGCAAGCAGTCTTGAGACGTGTTGTTGAAGTAATAAAGTTTCTTAGAGCAAGGGGCCTAGCCTTTCGTGGGAATGATGAAAAATTTGAGTCAGATAAGAATGGTAATTAATTAGGTATACTTGAGTTGTTAGCCAAGATTGACCCTTTTCTAGCTCAACACATCCAAAAGTATGCAGGGGTAGGCAAAGGTTATACATCTTACTTGTCAAAATCATATGCGAGGAACTTATTAAAATGATGGCAAAACAACTGTTAATGGAAATTGTTTCCGAGATCAAACAAACAAAATACTTCTCCATTAGAGTTGATTCAACCCCTGACATTAGTCATGTGGATCAACTGACTTTCATAGTCAGGTATGTGGGATCACACGGAAGACCAATTGAGAGATTTTCAATTTTGTTGAGGTCCATTTACATAAAGCAGAAAATTTAGCCAATGTAGTGAAAGACGTCATAACTGAAGATCTAGGCCTTGACATTAGTAGCCTTCGTGGTCAAAGTTATGACAATGCCTCTAATAAGGCTGGTGCATATTCAGGTTTGCAGGCCAGAATCAAAGAATTAAATGAACTTGTCCATTTTGTGCCATGTGCTGTTCATTCACTAAATCTTGTTGGGACCTCATCAGCGGACAGTTGTCTTGATACAATAACTTTCTTTAATTTCCTGCAAAACCCGTACACATTCTTTTCATCCTCCACACACAGATGGCACTGTTTAGTTCAGACTATAGAGAAAAGAAGTCTAGTGATCAAGTCTTTGTCAAACACTGATGCAGTTAAGGCTGTTAGAAACCATTATTGCGAAATCATTCTCTCCTTAAAATTAGCAAAGATAGAACCCAGACAACGACTACAAGGGCTGAGGTGGGAGGCCTGATCAAACAAATGGAGTCTTTCGAAACTGCTTTGATGACAGTTATATGGATCACTATATTAGAACGATTCAATGCATCTAGCATAGCTTTGCAAAGTCCCACAATTGACCTTCTCACTGTAACCAATCTGTACATGTCCCTCCTAACATTTGTACAAAAGCTGAGAAGATTTTGATGATTTTGAACAAACAGCAGCCATTTTCGTCAAAGATTCCTCATATAAAACTGCACAGAAACGCGTTAAACGTCAGAAACATTTTTTTATGAAAGTCCAACAACTGCAGCACAATTATCTCCTAAAGATCAATTCAGAATTGAAACTTTCTATTGCGTGTATGACAGTCTTGTTACAGAATTAAACAAAAGGCTTGAAGCTTATTCTAGTATTACAGGAACTATTTGGTTTTCTCACAGAATTTCCCTCCAAGACTTCAGACCAATTGCAGAGTCAGATCTTAGACCTTGTACAAGCTTATGCCAAAGACCTGGAACCTGTTTTACAGGAAGATTCTGCCAATTCACGGAGCTGTTAAGGGATGATAAATCAATACAGCTTATGAGTGATTTACTAAAACCTAATAGTTTACTGCTTCCGACATTCCGAAATGTGGCAACAGCAGTTCGAATATACTTAACTATTCCAGTCAACAATTGTGAAGGAAAAAGATCATGTTCAACATTGAGTAGGGTCAAAAACTATCTCCGATCAACAATGGACCAAGATAGGTTAGGCGCCCTTGCACTGATGTGCATTGAATGTGAGACGCTCAAAAAGCTAGACTTTAATGACCTTGTTAGGACATTTGCAGTAGGCAAAAGCAGAAAAAGGGACTTCTAAGTCTGTAAAACTTTCTATAGGTAATAAGAATATTTCCACACATTTATTTCAGTAGACATTTTTTAGGTTAAATATTGCAGATATGCATTACTGCATTTCATGTATTATATATCCCAGAAGTTATCCTGAAATGCGTTTTATGTATGGTTAACATATCCTTAAGATTAATTTTGTCTTATAGACACAGAGCTGAGACAGCATATGATAATGATAGGCCTATGTATTTGTCAACTAAGTCAGATTATTTTATTCAGATTTATGTATTAGTATGTTAAAATATACAACGTATATTTATGTTTAGGTATAATGCTGTGATTTCTGGATCATTGTTAAATAAAATACAAAGTTGAATTTCTACCTGTTCTGTTTCTTTTTCTTTCACAATATATTCCAGTTCAAAGACGTACGTTTAGATTTACCAACCTATCTCCTTGACAACAAGAAAAAAAACAAAACATGTGTATATATAAAGATATATATATATACACTCTATTGAGTTTGGGAGGGGCCCTACTTCCGTACCGTGCTTAGGGCCTCCATTCAGGCTAATCCAGCCCTGTTGATAACATTATCTGATTTTTATGAGATCATTAAATTTTTGCTATTTTCGTTCAAATTTTTAAAAATTAACAACTGTAGGCCCAATTATTAGATAACATACAAAACACGATATCATACAACAACTTTAAATTGCATAGAAGTATTAATCCTTCGAAAGGCAGTGATTAAACGAGATTGTATACGAACACACATATGACATATAGTTTATAAGGACTCCAACACATCTATAGAACACTTTGTGTATTTGCATATGTAAAAAAAGTGATTGCGTTATGTATCCGATGGTTCTCCGAGTTTCGTAAGTGAAGAAATGTAATCATATCACGGTTAGTCCGCAAAAAACGGATAAAAGCTAGACTTTCTCACTTTCTAAGAAAATGATGGCAGTGTAGTGGCTGAGAGGGTTCTCTGTGCATATACACACAATACTCTCGAATTCCTTTAGACACCACTTGAGTTTGAATTAAATCAAGGGTATTTTTTGTATAAGTAAGGTAATGACGTCATAAGCCACGACAACTTTTTTTACATTACCAAAAGTACAAAAATCTATTTATTTTTCACTAATTATAGAAACATGGGTGTGAAATAAAAGTTTTCTGACAAACGCAACATAAATAAACGTTCCAGAGTATTATAGGAACAAATTTGTACTCTCAGTCATGAATTAGAAAAGTCTATGTCCACTGATAATTATATTATATTCTTCCGTCACGAGGAGAAGATTGGTAGATAATATTTTTAACTGATGTGATAGTATATCAATGGACGAGAATCAAACTGTTGAACCATTTTGAAAATCATTATGACCATTTCCTTTCCCTGAGCATGTGCTATAATGCATCCAGAATCGATCTTATGTTTGACTAAAGGTAAAGA